GCTCTACTCTAAACATGCCCATGATATGTTCAAAAAGACGGAAAAGCCCCTTATCTTCAGTGTTTGAGCAAATTCCGCATAGGGAATATTTGCGCGTTGATTCCTCGATCCTTGTGATATAAATAGGAGTAAATAGATCATACCTAAGGGGTGTGGCCAAAGGCCCTCCTTTGCTGGTCAACTCGGACTCCTCGGAGTCGGCTAGGATTGTGTTAATCCTTATGACCTTCTGGGATGGCTCCTTGGTGGTATCACAGTCCTCAATCTAATGGATGGCTTGCTTCGCGATGAACTCCATGCAGTGGCCCTCTCTCACAAGTTCTTCGAGGTGCGCTTTCCAAGCAAAGCAGTTATTTGTATTGTGCCCATGCGTCCCATGGAAGGCACAGTATTTTCTGGTATCCCTCTTGTCCAGATCTCCTTTCAAGGGTGGCGGTCTTTTTACCCAATGTTTGTCTTTCACTTGGGCTAAGATTTGGTGTAGTTCTTGGTGTAGTTCTCCCTTGCCGTAGTGTCTCCTTGTGGGCGCAACCTGCGTTTGTCTTAGTCCCTGCTACTAAGCCTGTCGTTTCTTTGCCCTGCCCACTTAGTTGGTTGATCTTCCTGCTTGGTAGACTTCTTCGCGGCGATTCAATCATCATCCTAGAGCACATAGTGTTCCGTGGTCGCAAAGACCTCTGCCAGAGTCTGGGAGTGATAGTCAACTCGTGGTATAGGTCGTATTCAACTGGAAGACCTTTCTTCAAAGTAGAGGACGCGATTCGATCATAGCACCCTACAATGTTGACCTTTTCTGCTTTGAATCTCTTGATGTAATCTCAAAGGGATTCATCGGGCTTCTTGCACAAGTGGTACAAATGGTCAGGGTTCTTTTTGATTGTCTGGTAATAAGTATATTCCTTGGTGAAGACGAAAGACAACTCCTTGAAGCTGCTGATCGACCCGGATGGCAGGGTGTGGAACTAGTCTTGAGCTGCTCCTTCCAAAGTCATTGCAAACACCTTGCACATTAGCGCGTCTTCGGCTTTGTAGAGGATCATAATGCTCTTGAAATGCTTCAGATGGCTTTCGGGATCAGAATCCCCTTTGAAGTATGTGAGAGAGGGCATTGAGAATCGTTAAGGGGAGCAGCCTGCTCAATCTCGGTGGTGAAAGGTGAGGAGTTTGCTCGATCTACCTCCATGCGTACTGCATCTTCAAAATTTCCTATAATCTGTAAGTCCCGAAGTCGGTTATTTCCAAGCTTCTCAACGTCTTCCGCACACATGGTTGGCCGGTCACGTTGGCGACCTTTGCTATTTGGGCGACGCTGATTGACTTCCTCGTTGGTTCGCAAGGGTCGATCTTATCGACTGTGCTTCCTAGGCGGCATGTTGGTGGACTGCGCTTGCGAGGGATTTCTTGTAGCTTGTCGACAAAAATTGGTTCTTCGAGAGCGGGCAGCTGAGCGCCTTTCTTCATTGTCCTCATTGTGAGGGTTGTCAGGTTGACCTCCCTGAGGACCTAGCCTTTCGTGAACATTTCCCTGTGGACCCAGGCGGGCTTGGATGTGAAGTCGTGGGCCCAGCCTTTCATGCACATTGGTCCTTGAGCTCAATTTAGATGAGAGACCTCATTTTCTCTGAGTGTGGCTTGCAGATGCTTGTGACATGTTGGCAAGCTGACCACGTTGTTGTCCCTCTCCTTATTTGCTTACCCTTATTCGACCTGCCTGGTACCCATCAAACTGCCCATAGGCACGTTCGTCCATCATTCTCTCTTCGCCCTGTTGTCCAAGGCCAAGGTTTTGAGCCAAGTTTATTTGGTTGAGGAGCTGCCTCATCAAATTGTTTTGGTCGTCCATTCTCTGAGTTAGCTGGTCAACTCTCAGATTGAGGTCTACTTGACTTCGTGGACCGGGAGGAGAGAATTGTGAGGAGCCCAATTGCACATGGGCTAGGGTTTCATTGGAGGTGTACGCGGGAGCGTACGTCGAGCGTGGAGGCAATGGAGGGCAAGAATTGAAATATCGATATATCGTTATTTTCAACTGTCGACATCGATGTTGGGGGGTAAGGCCATATATTCCCCTGTATCGACGATATATCCCCGATACGTGTGATATCCTCGATATTTTGCCGATATCCCCGATATTTCCTGATACCCATAACATAACCCAAAAAAAAATCAGAATTTTTGAAGGTAATTGAAGCAAATTAGAACCCAAAAATAGCTAATCCTTGCCCAGAACCCTATAATTTATTAATATGAAGAATCTATGCACAGTCCACTGCCCACATACCTCCAATCCATCTAAAGAGGACATGGCGATCAGTTTTGTATCTATGAGCATAGGAACTAGACCTAGTACTAACTCAAATGAATCTTATGATGGCTATGGTTATGTCATGTCTGATTATAGTGGAACTAGTTATGGAGCTCAAGATGATGAAACCGATTATGGACCAACTAGTTTGGTTAATCCTAACTATCTCATATATAGGAGGACATTAGGGAGCTCAAGAGAGACGTATGTGCACCATGTTCAACACATGGCTTACAAAGTTGTTCCTCATTGTTTCAACCTCATAGGAGCTTTTCATTTATGTAGATGGACACTTATCTAAATTGTAATCCAATGTTTAAACAAACTAAGGATTTATACATGGTTTATTCATTCTAATCAACATTTTATTTTCAAACTTTTCATTAATGCGCATTACATACCACTTATATTTCATCATATGTATATCTTATTATTAGTAAATTTTGAGTTTTATTTGTTCAATACATTCATTGATAATGTAAATAACATCTATGAAAGTTTTCCACCAAAATTATGTGTTTCAATGCCTATATCTATCATTTTTGTTAATTTTTTCCCGATACCTAAAACGATAACGATATATCCCCCGAAATATCCATAAATTGGAGGCCCGATATTATCTGCACGGCCGATATTTTAATCCTTGATGGAGGGAATGTTTGAAGTTGCTCCAAGATCGGGCTAAGTCGGTGGTGGTCATGAGCCCACCATGATGGGAGGTTCCACCATGCTCAACGGCGGCACTATGAAGGTGGCTAGATCTAGCCACGAGGCCTTGAGATGGTACAACGACGGCATAGGCTAGTGCGGTGGTCCCAACTGCGGGTTCAACATGTGGCACGGTGGTTCCAGTTGAGAGGCATTGCTGTAGTAGGGCGGTGGTGCTCGTTAAGATGGTGTTCCTTGTCACGGGACTGAGAGGAGGAGGACCGATGGCGGCCGCGATGTCGTGAGGACGTGCCACAGTCTCGGCGGAGGTGTGGGATTGTGTTGGAGCCACGACGTCGTGGCAGTTCGTGCCCGTCGTGGATTGGGCCATCGCAACAATCTTGCCCCTTGTTTTCTTGCTTCCAACCATGGTTGTTTGGAAGGCTTCAGTGGATTGGAAAATAGGAGGAACGGATTCCTTGAGCTGCGTTGAGTATAACTCGTGCTGTCAATAAAAGCACCAAATGTTTGTGAAATAATCTCGCGGGAGAATATTCGCTTCTAGATCATTCGCCCTTTGATCTTCCTTCTCTCTCTTCCTCGATTCCTGTAAAAAAGACCGGAGTAAATAGACCACACACGGGGGGTGTTGGTCAAAGGCCCTCCGATGCCTATGTTAGTTCGATTGAATCTAGGTGAAACAATAGCTAAAAAGGGTACGGAGATTTCTCTAGGGTGAGAACTGGGTGGCCAGGGCCGTGTGTGGTGGCCGGAGCCGTGTGGAGTAAATATGGAGAGTGGAGAGTGGAGAGTGGAGAGTGAGAGACTTACGGGTATTTTTCTCGGGTTTTGGGGCTAGATTTAGAAGTAGGTTTTTTGAAGTACCTTGAATGATGAATGAAGTCGTCTATTTATAGGAGCCTTGGGGCTAGGGTTTCGTAAAGAATAAACTCTTATTAGGAGGAGTTTATTAGAGTTTATTCTTTACCTAAATTTGTAAAGATTGAGTCGGACTTGATTATATCCCTTTATTAGGATAATATCTAAATGAATGATATTATCTAATTAATTATAAGATAATATCCTATAATTAAGATATTATCCCCTTATTAAGATAATATCCAAATTAATGATATTATCTTATTAAATAAAGATAATATCTTATAATTAAGATATTATACCTATTAATTAATTAATCAAATAAATTGGTTTAATTAATTAATTTAAGGAATAATCTTCTTTTCCACGTGGCGTGCTATGATTGGAGACGAAATATTTGCTCTCACAACTGATACTCTGCTTCCAAGCGCTTGGCACATCTGTGGTTCTGTTTATTCTTCTGAGCAAGTTGAGATACCACAATTAATTGTTCAGCAAGTTGGGATCCATGAGTGTTCAGCTTTGTTCCGTTGGGTACTTGTTCATTTTCTGGATTTTTCTTGGAAAGAGGACTTTGTTCTCGGTTTATGAATTGTGTATATGTTTATTACTCTACTGTCTAATATACTGCATCAGCATGCTACTGATACTGAGCTTTTGTATATATGTCGATTCATTCTATATTTCTTCAAAGTATTATTTTCTGTTGGAATAAAGCCTGTGGAATGCATGATTGTCAATTGTTGGTAAATCATACAGGGTTTCTATTTGGTCTTTACAAAGAGTGTGCTGCTCCTTAATTAAATCAAAGGTATTTGTGATATATATGTATGCAGCCTCCTGAATTATGCTGACCTATTCTGGAATTTAATATGTAGTGGTTTTGGCAAAGTAATAAGTTTTATGTATAGGGATCTTTACTGTTGGAATTTGGGTTTACTTGCCAAGGGCTCAATAACACTCTATCAAGTTAAAGGAAGCTCTTACTTTGTCAATTTATTTGGATCATTATTCTTAGTTACTGTACTTTAGATATTTTATACTACTTTCTTTACTCCTTGTCAATTTATTTGGATCATTATTCTTAGTTTCTGTACTTGGTGGTTTCTGTATTTGGATCATATCTCATATAATCATTTTAAAGTGCTCAAAACAGGGTTCCAAGCTAGCAAAAAAACAACATGCAGTTGTTCTTGCTGCAACTATTCTACGAGTACGGCAAAGCTTTGGCGAGATCATAGATGTAAATTACTAAAAGAAGTGCGGAAATGAGGAGAGCTTGTTGGTATTCAATGCGCTACAAGGCAACTGAAGCCTGATAATATAAAGAGTATGGAAGAATGGCAAAGTTTCATCAAGAAACGACTGGGGTTCTCAAAGTTTCTTGATTGAGGTAACCATCATATTAATTTGTAATGAGGTTTTTCCTTTGGCAAATTACAATGGTTAAGTTGCTAAAATGAGTTTTCAAACAAAATGCAGGTGGCAGATCAAGTGTCAGTTTGATTCTTGTTAGATGATGTCTACTGCCAGTGCTATCATGAGGTTTTTGCATAGGTTACGTTGTAGTTTTGGCAGCACTATTATGAGTGAATGAGTTGGAGGCTGTGTACAAGTTAATTGTAAATTTGGCTGCACTATTATGTGTTTCTTTAATACTTTATGGAGTTTGTATTTGGAATTGATTATGATTAGTGTAGTTTTCAATAAAATGGTTCTTTCTTTCAAGTTTGGTTGCAATACTACTTTTTCTTTTGTGAAATTTTGTATCCAGGGAAGTAATAGATGATATAAGTATATTGTAAATATGAAATAGGAGCAGGCAGGGAATTAATAATTTTTAGAAAAAATTTAAAGTTAAACACGGCGTGCATTAGACGTCTTAAATGAGAATTAATTACTCCTTTACGGCGCGCAAAGCGTGTCGTAATTGCTTTAACTGAATTACGGCTCACGGGAAACGTCGTCTTAAGTTTTTTATTACGACGTTCATGCACGCCGTGATTGAGGAACACTATTTACGACGGGGGCTTTTACTGCTTGCATGTTTCGCATCGTGAATGATAATTCACGACGAGCTTTGTGCGCCATAATAGATGTGTTCTGGTGTAGTGATTCAAACTTGCGTTTGTTTTCTTTTTTCTAATTGTTCTCAACGGCTATATGATAGAAGACCATGATTAATTCTTAACAATTTCAACGGAAATAAAGTAGATTCAATGTTCAAATATCAAATCCAATGGTAAAAAAAAATAATTAAATATTTTAAATAAACCCCAAAACACAACTCAAATTCTATAAATACCCATCCATTTATTAAATAACCCACCATTTTTATTTTTTTTCATTTCTCACTTTGATATGGTGTTGGGTAAAGGAAGATTTTCTTTCATAAAATAATGGCAAAAAGACAATTATTCAGAAAATAATGGCAACAAGACAAAAGGGGATGTGACCCATGTCAGATAATAATTGAAGGAAGAGAGATAAGGAGATAGATGAAAGGCAGAGAATTCAAGAAAGGAAGAGCTGATGAGATAGAGGAGATGGGCACAAAGTCAGAAATAATTGAAAGAAGAAGATAGGCACGTCAGAAAATAATTCAAGCCATGTAGGATAATGGCCTACAAATATTAATTGAATTAAAATTAAGTTTGTTGAATTTTAATTTTTTTTTTAGGTTAAAAGGTTTAGAAAATTAAATCATGAAGTTATAAACAAAAATTAGCTCAAGAAAACAAAACCACAAAAAAAAATAAAGTTAAACTATTTAAAAATAATTGAATAAGGCTACGGACTCAAAATTTGAGTCTAGGCGATTGAGGGAAAAAACTGTTTGAGTCCGTGCAATACATGAATAGTTGTATTTTGAAGGGTGGAAATTTGGGTTTAGCTCCTTAAGCATTGGAGATGGCCTTACAAGAATCCAATTTTATGTCCTTTCATCTTCTTTTGTTGTTTTGTTTTGTTTTGGTTTTTCCAATACTTAGGCCCCACTAATTAATAGTGAAACATGAGCTACTTTTCTTCACCTGCATAATTATAGCGGAGGTGCATACATTGAATATTAGGTAAGCTAAAAATATATACCACAAGCAAGCTTCCTATATTTCAATAGGATAGATAAAGGGTTTTCCTGTTTTTTGGGTTTTTTATGGCAAGGTTTTAAGGAGGCTCCGCTTTTAGCTTACTGGCCGTTTGTGCTTTTGTTGTAAGCTTAATGAAATTTTTCTCTTGATTAAAAAAGAAAAGGATAGATGGAGACTATTTATTTTTCTTAATATCTCACCTTGAAATTGCAGAAACGTCCGAAGGTGATATTTTTCTTAATATCTTTCCGTGCAGTTGAGCACCCAACAGAAGAGAGATCATTGCAGCTGAAATTACAGAAGCTCTTTTTTCGGGGGGTGAGGCTAGAAAGAAACCAACCAACCAAGCAACCACATAGACAGACATGGCTGAATCTTCTTCCACTATTGCCAAGCCCAAGATAGAGTTAGGATCCAAAACTGTCCAAGAGCTGCTCCTGCTCGCCGAAGGGGAACAAGTGCCTGAGAACTATATCCATAAAGTTGGAGCCCCATATGCTTCTTCTGTCCAGTTGAAGGATATTCCAGTAATTGATCTTGGTCTCCTCCTCACACCTTCCTCAATCACCCAACAACAACTTGACAATTTTCAATCAGCTCTTACTACATGGGGTTGCTTTCAGGTCTGAATTCAAATACCCAATTTAATTGTGATTACTTGAGAAAACTTGGTACAAGTTGTAATGAATTAGCAAACTTTTGAATCATCCATCTATCTAGATTCTCCAGTAAGTATTTAAGTTAAGGATTTGGTAACATATTTCTAATTTTGGCCGTTGGATTACATTCATTAGATGTGTTGGTAGATTTAATAAGCAACATAAATACAATCGAACGGCCGAGATTAGAAATATGTAACTAATGTTTAACATTAAATACTTACTGAAGAATTTTCCCATCCACGTATTTGTAAAACATGTTTGATGCTCCTGCCTTAACTCTGTGTTCCAGGTAATAAATCATGGCATGACACCTGAATTCCTAGACAAGGTCCGCGAAATGACAAAACAATTTTTTGCACTTCCAGTGGAAGAGAAGCAGAAATACTTGAGACATGCACAAGTCAACGATATTCAAGGATATGGGAACGACACGGTTTTTTCTGAACAACAAAGACTTGATTGGTCTGACCGGCTATACCTTTCTGTATATCCAGAAGAGCACCGAGAGCTCAAATTTTGGCCTCAAAATCCCAAATCTTTTAGGTAACTTGTGTTTGCCATACATCTTCTTCCTTCACACTGAAACAGTAACCATATCATGATCTCTCAGAGTTCAACATATATTATTACTGCAGTGAAACTTTAGACCAATATACGACGAAGTTACAAGTGGTAACAAAAACTGTCCTGGAGGCCATGGCAAGGTCATTGAATTTGGATGTTAATTGCTTTTGGGACCTGTATGGAGAACAAGGGAGAATGGATTTGAGGTTTAACTTTTATCCTCCTTGTTCAAGGCCTGATGTTGTCCTAGGTGTCAAACCACATTCGGATTCATCATTAATCACCCTTCTCTTGCAAGACAAACAAGTCGAAGGTCTTCAGTTTCTTAAAGACGATCAGTGGTTTAGAGCTCCCATTATTCCTGAGGCGCTTCTCATTAATGTCGGTGATCAGGCAGAGGTAAATCAAATGTTATATCTCAACCTGTTCAATTATTGGTTTTAATTCACTTTTAAAGAAATGACTAATTGAAATTTGGTGAGTAATTGAAAGCTTAAAAATGTACCCTTTCGGCCGACGGGGTCTAGCCCAGTGGAAAAGGGCCTTAACTTGCAGACCAGTGGTCTCAGGTTCGAACCCCATAACAGCTTTGTAGTGTGTGTGAGAAAACCCCTCTCCCCAATCGCTTGTATAAAAATGTACCCTTTTGTATCTCATTGTTGTTATGGCTAAAACAACTCATCAAATATGCCTTATAATTTGTTGAATGAGACCCTTTGAGCGAAGTTTAACAATCTAATACAGTTGGTTTGGCTTATAGAAGCTTGATTGTTGGTTTCCTTGTGATACACAGATATTGAGCAATGGAATATTGAAGAGCCCTGTACACAGGGTAGTGATAAATCCTGACACGGAGAGGATCTCTTTGGCTGCCTTCTGCATGCCTGAATCAGATAAAGAGATTGAACCCCTTGAAAGCCTGGTCAATGAGTCAACGCAGAGATTGTACAAGAAGATGAAAAATTATGAAAGCATATATTTCGAATACTACCAGCAAGGAAGGAGACCAATTGAAGCATCAAAAATTTAAACTTACTCTGTAATATATTAATTTGAGGGTAAAACACAATTTGGTCATTGTGTGTGTTAGGCTCAAAAACACATTAAATACTTATTAAATTTCTTAGTGAAACTAAGTTGACCTTTCCTCTCAGAATCATGACAGCAGTTCCAGAAAACTGAACCGAAAGTACTCGATAATTAGTAGAGTTTTGATCAACTTGAAGGCTGTTAATTTGACTATTAAGTTTGGATGTAGAGACTGATAATCTGCTTCCAAGTGCTTGGCACACCTGTGGTTCTGTTTCTTCTTCTTAGCAAGTAGAGATAGATAGTGATCAAATCTGGCTCCAATGAATGGTTTCGAAATCAAGAAAATAACTTATTTTAACAGCCCCTATAACATTATGTTTTTTAAGTCAGATGATTTGTATAAGTAGAGACTGATAATCTGCTTCGTAGTGATGGGATGTTGTTTTAAGGGTTTTGTGGTTGGGTTTTAGGTTTGTTTGTTTCGTATAAGTTATTTGACTTTTTTGTTTAGTGAATAACATGGGTGGTACTCCTTCCTACCCTGAGGTTTTGTGTTCTCTGGGAAGGTTAACGTGACCGCCGTTAACATGCTAGTTTTTACCATGTAATGTTCCTCTCGGTTTAATGAAATACCATCTTTTCTCAACAACAACAAAAAGTCAGATGATTCGAAATCTCTTTCAACTTTAAAAAAAATAAATAAATAAATATCACTACATGAAAATATGAGAGTGATGCAAATATGCATCTCTTGCACCTTCAATTAGATGATTCGATTTCTCAATCTTTCTGACTTGCTCCTACCTACTTGAAAGGTTTGGAATTTCTTGATATATTATTCTCATTGAGAAGAGATATATAATACAAAAAGTTGACAAAGGTCTATTGTACAGCTAACAAACGGCTGAAAAATTAAAGTCCTCAAATTGAGTAATCACATAACTAATTGACAGTTATAGTTGACCTTTACAAGAGGAAATTAAGTATGTTTATACCCAAAATGAACAGACAATGAGAGCAAGACACGTGGAGGAAATTAGGCTTGGTCAGAGGTGCCCTCGGCACCCCACCTACCGATCTCTCTATTAGGGCAACGCCCTCTCCTGGGACACGTGGCACGCTCCCAAGCGACGTCCACAGTCCCACATCGAAATTATCAACAAATGCACACCTCCCAAGGCCTATAAAAAGAGGCTAACTATCCCAAAATAGAGGTAATCAGAACTAACGGCATACAAGCCTATTGATCTGTCAGTTGAACTTTCTATTCCCGAACTTACTTAAGCATCGGAGAGCCTTCGGCCGGTACCACACCGGTGCCCTAGGTCTTACCGTGCGTTTGCTTATATTGCAGATCGTGCAGACTACCGAGGCATCAAGGATACCGAAGACATAAAATTACTAAGTTGACCCTCTAAGTCAAAGAACCACTTTTTGGCGTCAACA